CAAGTTGCGCACGTTAAAGATTCCTTCGTGGTCTAAAATCAATAAGAGTAGGCTTCTTCCGCCATCCCGTGAAAATTCAAAAATTCCTACAAACTGAAAAAGTTTAATGTGTCCCGCGCGCTCATATAACTTTATGCAGTTGCAAGCGCGTAAAACACTTACTAGAAAAACAATTTCTGCTTAGGCATTTTGTCCCTCTCAGCCACGGTTGGCCCTGACAGGCAGGGTTGGAAGCCCGCCTCCTATATGATCTAAATTCTATCCGTCGAGGGGTGCAAAACACTGACGTTTAAAAACAAAAAGATATTTTAAGAATAACTGAATTTTGAAAATAAAAACAAAACAAAACAAAAAGAGAACAAACAGAAACAGAACAAACAGAAACAGAACAAACAGAAACAGAACAAACAGAAACAGAACAAACAGAAACAGAACAAACAGAAACAGAACAAACAGAAACAACCTCTGCGTGGATCTATTTCGTAACAGTTTTGCTGCACGTTCAACACATTTTAATCATATAAGTGCAGGCAATTAGGGGTGTTACATAAAGGTAAAAAACACAAAAAGAAGGAGACATAAGGACGATGCGATAGATATTAATTAGGAAAGGAGGAGCAAACCACCCCAGAGCACCCGCCAACCTCCCGGATATATGAGAATGGCCTGCAGTAGCTTTTGGCTAATTACAGGTAAGGCGAAATTGCCAAAGTCGACTTGACGTAAACAACATTACATGTCTTTTGGTGGAGTATTTGAAGGCCATTGGGAGACGCCACGGACAGCGAGCTAGAACAACGATTGAAATAGGCACATGGAATGTCAGCGGACTTGGAGACAAAGAACCAGAAATAGTGGATTTCATGGAAAGAAAGAAAATAGCAATCATGGGCTTGTCAGACATAAGGAAGAGAGGCAACCACAGCAAGCTGACCCATAAAGGCTACCTACTGATCTGGAGCGGAACACCTGAAAAAAAAGAGCTGCGAGCTGGACTACCATAGAAAACTGCATCTCCCCTCGACGCTTAACGGCAACAGAGGATGAAAAAGTAAAAGTAAGTAAAGTAGGGAGACGCCTTTAAGTTTAACCAAATAATAGATATACGTTGTGCTAATAATGCTAAACCGCTACCTCAGAAGTTTCACCTAACATTTTTGGACGTTTTGAGTTGCTAAGCAAAATCAATGAATTCTGAAATCAAGTGTTCTGTCTTCTCTATCAAAATCCCAAGATTAGGAAATGTTGTTATCAAGAGATCCAAAGAATTGCAGTCGAAAAGTCTTGGCGTGAAGCTCAAAAGATTTGTCGTCAAATTTATCAAAACTAGGTATTGAGCAAACTAGGAATTGAGTACATAGAACCAAAGATCGTGTATAACAAGACAGTTCACTCCTCTCATTGAGCCAATTAAAGATAATATGTCCTCAAAATTCAGTGGCGTCCTTTTCGAAAAAGTGCGGGCTGTGCGAGAGCCCCCTTTTCAGTATAGGTTCAAGCTGCACAAAACAAAATCAAATGAGAATTCCCAAAGCGAACTATTGGTGATAACAGTATACGCTGTACTGCGGGTATCTCTTTCTAATATGTGATGCTCAAACAAAATAGTAATCAAGAGTTGAAATGAAAATGAAAGAAGAAAAATCATGCAACTGAAGTGCGGAGTTCGAATATGGAGTTAAACATTAAGCACAACATCACAATCAGATGGAAATCCACCCACCTCCCCACAAGCACATATTCCTATTTTAAAAAACACACACACACACACACACTCGAGATATAACAAGGTGTACATTACATGAAAAAACCCCAATAACCACAATAGCATCAACGAATAAAACCCCCCCAAAAAACCCTCAACATTTCGCCGCACTTCAGTTTGATTACTCCTCCCCCCAAAAAACCCCCAACAACAAACAACAAAAAAACCCAGAAAGAAAATGAAAAGAAAAGAAAAAGTAATTAACAGAATAAAATTCCACAACTCACCATGAAATCCATTCTGAGTCCTTTTTTCTTTCTTTGCTTTTGATTTTAGAGTAAAATTTGCAAAGTCCTTGTAGTTGCAGCGAAACAAAAACAGAGCCGGTCCCAAATTTTGCACCACTATCGTTTGGTTTAATTACGAGTGCGTGTTGCCGGCCTAGCCACTAGTAAAAGCGTTCCTAGATCTGCGCCTGTTTTTACCGCTATTTGAAGACCGCGGCGCGCGTCGCTTCCCGAGTGAGTGCTGGCTTCTGATTGGCTGGATTTCCTTCGCTGGAGATTTCTCACGTGGGAAGTTTACGTAGGAAGTGTGAGTGTGAGAGGAGCGGTGGAGTGAGTGAATGAAAGAGGTTGGGGGGG